CCCTTGAACATTGTTTTTAGGTGTATGGACCTGGTTTCTAGGATTTTTTTTAGCTGTTTTATGGTTTATGAATTCAGAATGGTCTGAATTAGCTTTTGAAGGTATTTCCTTCATGTTTCTGTCTGGCTGGTTAGAACCAGTGTCCAGGGGATTGATATTTCTGTTTAAAATCCCTTGGATTTTATGTTTAGATGTGTGAGTTTGTTCATGACTTAAAATAGCCTCTTTTTGAGCTATTTTGGAATTTATAGATTCAAAATGGTCTGAATTATAATTTGAAGGTATTTCCTTCATATTCCTGTCTGAATAGTTATAAACAATGTCCAGGGGAGCATCTGAATTTTCCTGAACTCCATGGTTCAGATTTTGAATTATTTCATGATATGAACTATCATCTTTCTGATTTATTTGAGCATTTATATGTGGAATTTCATTAGATTGCCTATTTTTATTGGTTTCTAATGAATCCTTATATGTTTTGCTTTGTTTTAGGTTATTTTTTGAAAATTGAGTTTGGATTGACTCATTTCTTTTTTTATTTTGGAATTTTAATCTTCCTTTATAGTCTGAAGATGCCATTCTCCTCTCTTTATTTTGGTCAGGTATAACTGAACCTTTATTTTCTGAACTCAATTTCTCTGTTTTTTCAAATATTTGAGATTCTGATTTTGTATGTGAGGAGATGTCATTTTCAGTTTCTTTTATAGTTTTATTTTTGGTTTTGGAATTATAGTATTCATGTATGATTCTATTGTATATTTCTTCATATAGTTTTGAATATTGTGTTTGAGATGAGTTATTTTCAAAAACACCTTCTTTAAATGGGAAAATGCCTTCCCTAAAAATCACATTTCTAGAAATATGAAATTTTTTAATTTCTATATCTAATATCACATATCCTTTTGTATTGGAAGGATATCCCATAAAAATGTCTTTGAAAGTTCTTGGAGAGAATTTATGCTCTCTAATATTGGTTGTTGCATAGCATAAGCAACCAGATGTTTTCATTGTGTTATAGCTTGGTGCTTTGTTGTTAAGCACTTCATATGGTGTTTTATTTTTTAAAACTTTAGATGGGACTCTATTTATTATGTGAGTAGCTGTTAAAACACACTCCCCCCAATATGTTAGAGGAATTCCTCCTTGGAAGTGTAGGGCTCTAGCTATTTCTAATAGATGTCTATGTTTCCTCTCAACAATGACATTTTGTTGAGGTGTGTATGGATAAGTGAACTGATGAGTTATTCCATACTTTTCTAATGTTTTTCTAAAAGAGTGTGAGGTGAACTCACCTCCATTATCACTTTTAATAGTTTTAATGTTTTTGTCAAAGATATTCTTAACTCTAGTTATGAATGTTTTTATACATCCTAAAACCATATCCTTGGATTTTAATAGAAAGGTCCAAGTTACTCTACTTAGATCTTCTACTATTGTTAAGAAAAAGCAAAACCCATCATGGGTTGTGATTGAGAATTTACCCCAAATATCTATATGAATTAAATCAAAAATAAAATTGGATTTGGATGAGCTATTTTCATATTTTAATTTAGTTTGTTTTGCAAGTGGACAAACATCACAATTTTCTTTTATTTTCAAAAGATCTTTATTTATTTTTGAAGAAAATTTATTCAAAAACATACAATCATCCACTATTTTACAATTTTTATTTTCAGAATTTAAAATATTTCCTCTAGTATCTATGCACTCAGCCTTGATCAATGCCTTTAACTTGTCTCTTGAGATATGCCCTGGCCTCTTGTGCCAAGTCTCAAAGTTTATGGCTGAATTAGCAAAGTCATGGGATTGAGACTTAAGGAAGTAGAGTCCTTCTCTAGACTCATCCTGTCCAATCACTCTCCCTGACTTGTTTTCCTGAAAATTACACTCATCTTTGTTAAAAATCACATTTAAATTTGAGTCACTTGCTATTTTATGGACTGATATTAAATTTACTTTAAATTGTTGTATGTATAACACATTTTTGAGAATTAAATTTTCAGTAAGAGTTATGTCTCCAATTGACATAACCTTTCCACTAGGAATGGTCACATAATGACCATTTTCTATTTTTGGAGTTTTATCAAAAAAAATTGGGTTCCCAGTCATATGTTGGGATATCCCAGTATCAATGATCCATGAATTATTATAATTTAAAGTATTAAAAGAAAATGACATATCTGTGGATTTACTTAATAAATCCTTGAGGAGCAATAGCTCTTCATTGTTCAAATTGGGCACATTTGTTGAGGTGTTTGCTTGATTGGCAGTCCCACTAGTCTTTTTGTAGTTTTTCTTCTTATTATTTGGAAAACCTACTATATGGAAGCAATTCTCCCTAATGTGACCAAAAAATTTGCAATTATCAAGTTTCTTGCCATTTTTACCATATATCCCCTTTTTCTTAGGTTCTTTTTTTCTTAGCATTATTTTTTGCAAACATTGCAGATAAGCTACCTCCTATCTTCTCTTTAAGGTTTGATTTTTGTTTTTCCTCTTGTATGACTAGTGAGAAGATTTGATTCATGGAAGGCAATTCAGTATATGTTAGGATTTGGCTTCTCAAGATCATAAAATCCTCATTAAGCCCTAGAAGGAATTGGTGAGTCATATCCTTCTCTATTTTCTTATTGTAAATTGGTACACATGATGTGCAAAATTTATATTCAGGCTTTTCAATTTCTATGTATTGATCCCACAAACATTTGAATTTATCGAAATAAATGGAAACAGAATCACTTGCCTGAGTTAAGGTATTAATCTCATACCTTAATTGGCTGGCTTTAGGGGCATTCTTCTATTTGTATCTTTCTTGAAGCTCTGCCCAAGTTTCATACGCAGTCTCTTTGTGAATCAGAGTGGAAGCAATTTGAGAGCTTACTCCATTAATGATCCATGAGAGTACCAACCCATTAACTCCCAATCTTCAAATTTAGTCCCTGTTTCATCAATTGGTTTATTTATTTATTTTTCCATTAATAAAAGCAGTCTTTTTTCTTAAGACTAAAGAAAGCTTCATGGAATTTGCCCAAGCAACATAATTGGCCTCCCCTTTGAGCTTGTCAACGACCATTTAGGCACCTGGATGATCTTCAGCAGTGACGAAATAAGGAGATTTTCTTGAAACTTCTTTCTTTGCAGTATGAGATTCCTTTTCAGCAACCACCTTCTTTTTATTTACAGATTTCTTGGCTTTCTTTCTTGAAGCCCTAAAAAATCTTCTTTTGCCTTCAGAACTAGAAGAATTCGAAGAAGTGTATTGATTGTAGGTGTTTCTTGATGATGATTGCGAATCTTCAGAATCTCCAAAGTTGTGCATTGCGGAATTAAAGTCGACATTGACATCGTGACCTACTGAAACCATATTATCTGACGTAGTCGGAGCCGAGGAGACAATGACGATAGTATCGCGAGGAGAACTGGCCGGGATTGGCCAGACGCGGTGGTGGCAAACGGATTGGGGAAGAACTTAGGTCTAAACTACTGTAACAGTAGTAGTTATTTTCATTTGTACTAGTGTACTTAGAAGAGGTTTAATTTTCATTAAACTTGTGTCATTAATTACAACACTAAACATATTTACTTATAGCTAATTTTACAACAGATTTTAATTACAATTCTATTATCTAATGGACCAATTATACTCCGGACTCGGCCCACTCGTTTAATTAGCCCACTCGAATATAATTGAAATTTTTGCAGTCATGACCCTCGACTTCATTGAATCCTTTCTCTGAGTCTTGGTCATTTTGTCTGCACAGTAAAACTTGATGATAAATTATCAAATAATTTTATAAGTGTTGTTTATTATATTTAGGTCCTGTGAGAGTTAAGACAGATTATTTGCAGATCTGTTTAAATTCCTTAAACCCTCACTTGACCTTTTACTTACCGATTCTCTTGTAATTCCTTTATTGACTTCCTATTTTCTTTTTAAAGGATAAACCCAATTAAAATTGAAAGCAACATCAACGAAATTCAAATAGTATTTATAACCCCCAATAGACTCTACCGAAGCAAGACCCTATATATCGGAAAATATAAGCTGCAAAGGTGAATATAAACTAATACTAACTGTCTAACTTCACGCGGAAGATTATGAGATTTCTGAATCAAACATGAATCAAAGTTCTTTATTTCTTTACAACTAGTAGACCAGACTTATTAACTAACTCTTTAATTGATCTTTCATTTAGGTGTCCCATCCTAGCATGCTACAGATTGTCTCCTATCTTCTCCGTTGTTAAAGCTTGATGACACTTATTCACGTCCAGAGTTATCTTGTATAATCCTCCTACTATGTTTCCTTCGGTCAAGATTTCATCAGTTTGAAGACAGTGGATCGGCCACCACCTTCCGTTTATCAAATTTGACATATACCTAATTATCAACACATAATTGGTGAATAAATAATAAGTTCCGTGATGTCTCTGGAACTAGAAGAATCTCTTTAAGAATTATATCAGATGCTATAATCTTTCGATCCCAACTTTCTCTATTTTCATACTATTACCATTTGTCTCTTTACCCTTGTATTCGATAAAATTGTTGATGAATTTACCTGAATTCACTATGCGCATGGTAGCGTCGGTAACAAGATATCAAATGGAAGGAACCAGAGATGTGACCACAATATTTGTGGAAGGAGTTGTGCTTTGGTCGGTCTGGCCTGAGTTATTCAATCCCACCGGTACCAATCCTCGCGAGTGATTTGCGGTTAGAAACCTATCAAAATTCACTCTATGGTAACAGTCGTTTGCTTTATGTCCTTTTTTTTTTTAACATATTTGGCATAGAGCTTTCTCCCGACGATCCTCTTCTTTGTTTTAAAAGCAACATGAGCCTCGACACTGCAAACGAGCCGAGTTGTGTTGAGCTTTTGCTTATGGAGTCAGGCTCAAGCTCGGCTCGTTAAGAAGTTATCAAGGCTCGGCTCGTTTTAAGAATTGTCAAGCTCTGGCTCGAAGCTCACGAGCCTGCATGGGTTAAAATAAATAATTTGAAAACATGAGGGATCGAACTCATGATCTTTTGCATACTAAGCAAACCTTTTACCATCTGTGTTACACCTCCATTCTCTTTAAATATAATATTTTTTTTATACTTCTTACCTAACCCATCGAGCTTAACGAGCCGAGCTTGGAATGTCGAAACTCGAACTCGGCTTGTTAAGCTTAGCAAACTTGAGCTTTAGGCTCAGTCTCGGCTCGTTGAGTTCGAGAGTCCGAGCTTAACGGCCCAGCCCAAGTCCATCGATTAAGCCGAGCGAATGTGTAGTAAGTGCTTCAGGTGAGCGAATGTGATAGAGTTTTCGAAATGAGTCGTTATCAATGTCACAAAAGGTTGGTACACGGGACCCCAACCTCCCATTGTCATCAAGATCATTTGGGAATCCCTTAATGACGGAGACAGTGACGTTAGGGCAGCAAATTAAGGTGATGTCATAGAAGTGATATTTTTTTAAGACAAGAAAAGACAAATTGGAGAATGAGAAAATGAAAACAAATTCTGTTATTTAAATTTCTGTATGATTTTTTATTTCCTTTTATTTCAATTCCAATCGCCTACTTAAAAATAAATAAATAAATAAATCCGACAATCAGATAAAATGTCAAAATGATGGCAGATCAGTAAAGTCTTTAAAGAAATCACTTTAAGACTTTGAGTGTTGTGTTTTTTTTAACTTTAAAGACATTAAAAAATGATAGTATATGTAATCATTGTGATGTGATTTTGTCGGTGTGATTAAAAAAAACATTTACTTTGTGAGCGCCACCCGCGGTTCAATCACCGGAATCGGTACCAGCACAGTGACTGGTGGTAAACTCCGATGATGTTCTCCGTCTAATGTTTCTCTTTGATAGTGTTCTGATTCCTCGACGACGATTCGTCCACCGCAGTAAACACAAAGGTACCGGAGTGGTCATTGGTGTAATCCACAAGTGGTTCGATCGCAGTGACGATCTCCGACATTGTGGGTCTATTTCTAGAGTGATGGCTTAAACACTGCAAACCCAACGATGCTGCTCTGTGAGCAGCTTTTGTCGAGTACTGTCCTTCAAGACTGGGATCCATTATCCTACAAATCCTCCGTGGATCTTTCAAACATGACTTTACCCAATCCACTAGATCCTGTTCCCTCGCCGGCCGTGTTTTGTCGAAGGATCTCCGGCCAGTTAGAAGCTCCAAGAGCACGACGCCGAAGCTATAAACGTCGCTTTTCGTCGTAAGATGTCCGGTCATTATGTACTCCGGCGCCGCGTAGCCTTGTGTTCCCATGACGCGGGTCGACACGTGTGTTTCGTCGCCTTGAGGGCCGTCTTTCGCCAGACCGAAATCCGACAGCTTTGGTTTGAAGTTGTTGTCGAGTAAGATGTTGGAAGCCTTGAAATCGCGGTAGATGACCTGTTGGTCGGACTCGTGGAGAAATCGTAGACCTTTGGCGGCGCCCAATGCGATTTCCATTCGGATCTTCCACGGCAGTGTTCCGAGGTAGTCTGTAGATCGATCGATCATCGGATCATGAATAATTAATAATCGTAAAATTAAAAAGTACGTCCATCAATTAATGACCGGAACTTACTTCGGAAGAGATGATTCTCCAAGCTACCTCTGTTCATGAACTCGTAGATTAGCAGCCGGTGTTCATCCTCGTAGCAGTATCCGACGAGCTTCACCAGGTGTGGATGTCTCAATTGCCCAAGCACCATCACCTCCGTCTGCAATATAACTGACTGTAAATCCTGTAATGATGAACGGACGATAACTGATAAGGATTTTATGTACGTACCAGCCACTCTTTATGACCTTGGGAGCCATCAAGATCCAACACTTTGACGGCGACTGACTGAGGCTTCAGACCAGGTCTCACCTTATCATCTAAAAACCCTTTATACACAGATCCGAACCCACCTTCTCCGAGGAAACTGCTAGCGTTGAAGCTGCGGAGAACGACCTTCAGCTCCTCCAGAGAGAAGTTGTAAAGATGGGTACCCACGAGAGACGATGATAGATCCGCCGCCAAGGTCTCTTTCGACGGCACCTCTTGTTTCCTTACCGGAGTCCGATTAGGTGTCGTTACGTTCTCCACTTGGGGTTGCGTCAGACATCCACCCATCACCTCAATCAGTCTGTTGCCAGATTAATTTGATCTGAAGACCGGATTAATTAGTGACGGCGGCGATTCTATTTTATATCGGGAAAGATAAACAAATTCACACACGGTCAAAATGTCATAAACTTTGACCTATGAACTATGATCTTCCCCAATTAAGACTTTTTCGTTCCACACGGTTGTCGATTATCTTAAATTAGTATATAATCATGGAATCATGCATCATTAACTTTAATCACCAATGTACAAAATAAATTTAACATAATTTATCACAATTGCTATTAAAATTTCTGTCCGATCCAAGCTGATGATAAACGAAATATCCTTTCACCGCTCCCGGTGGTGCGAGCGGCGCCTATCTTCTCGTGTCAGAGACTCTGAGATCTACGACGCACGTTCTACGTCAAGTCTTCAGGAGAGAAAATCGACGATGGCTACGTGATTCACGTTTTAGAAAAGATCGAACTGATGTCTTAGATGAACCTCGGAGGTCTCCTTTTATAGGGTTTTGGGAGGTGCAGTAAAGATCGTGCCCAGGTCATAATGGCAGTCATTATAATGCTCAGACTGAACGCGAGTAACCCTTCATAATCGACGATTTGAGGGTAGATGTCAATCCCGTTGTTACTTTAATCAACTGTCAGATCAAATTTGAAGGACCAAGATCAGGTGGCGGCAGCAAACCACATGGAGATAGTATATACCTGATACTGGTTATGTTTAAATAAGAATTAGGTGTGATGGTGGTATTAGACTTGAGTAGAATTGTCGAACGACTCAAGGAGGATTTGGATATTGTTCCAAAAGATTCAAACACCACAATCAGACGAAGAGCGTCATCGTAAACTGGATAGTCGTCTATTATTAGATAGAATTTTGTTAATAAATTGGTTATAAGTTGTTGTAATAACTATTAGGTTTAGTCCGAAGTATTCAAAACCGTAGTTGGGAACGACTCTAAACATTTTAATCTTCATGGGCATGTTTCAGGTTTTGACTGGATCCAAATCAGGGAAGCAAGATCGTTAGTCGTTGATTTCGATATACTTACATTAATTGAAATTTTCCTGTGGAAAAGACAGAAACAGGAGAAGCGAGTGGTTTAGTGAAATTAAGAAAGATCGTACGTAAAATTTTAACTGCGGAAGAAAGAGTAGAACGCGTAATGAAGGAGTTGTGCTTTAACTGTGATGAGTCCTGTGCGCCAGGACATAAGTGCAAGGACCGTCTTTTTAGGATGGGCATTGGGATAGAATGCTTGGTTGAAAAGCTTAGAACAACAGGAAGAATTGAAAGAGGTGGTGGGAAATTCTGCGACTACCACGGAGATAAGCGTACATGCTTTTTCAGGTATTTTTAATCCAAGGACTATCCGCGTAATGGGATGGGTGCAAGGCAAACCTCTATCAATGCTCATCGATAGCGGTAGCACTCATAAGTTCATCCAGGAGTCAGTGGCGAATCGGTTGGGATACGAAATTCAAGAGTTACATTCAAGGTATTCATCAGAAGCGATGAATTTTTTGTTTGCAAGGAGGTTTGTCATCAAGTTGCGATTTCAATACAGAATGCCAAGTATCGTAGAGGACTTATTCGTGCTCGCGATGGGTGGAGCCAATATTATATTGGAAATTCAGTGACTGAGAAAACTGGAACCAGTTACCCCAGATCATAGAGAATTAACCATGGAATTCCCTGAAGGTGAGAAAAGAATTTGTTTACAAGGTGATCTACATCTGGTGGATACGGAGATTTCAAAATCAGGATTATAAAAATTAACTGCAAAAGAGGAAATCGATTGACAATTATGAAGCGAGGAGCCAATATCCGAAGAGGGAAGTCTGTGGCCTGAAAGCTATCGTCAGGCAGAACAACAAAACACCGCTACTGTCAGGATCTGAACCAGTGAATGTTCATCCGATCCATACTACGCTGTCCACACCGCCAGAAGAATGAGATTGAAATACTCATCATAGAGACGTTGCGGAATGGATTGATCAGACACAGCATCAGCCCTTTTTCATCCCTTGTCCGTAGATATTTTTATATCTTATAGAAATATATCATTCGAAATTAAACTTATGAGATTACTTGATGGGGAGTAGGGTGTCAAATAAAACCCGACGGCTCGCAAGCCTGAACCCAATCATCAAGCTCGTTTAGCTTAACGAGCCGAGCTTGAGTTTGGACATGCCAAGCTCGGTTCGGCTCGAGTATAAAAAAACTAAAAAAATATTATATTTAAAGATAATAGAGGTGTAGTGAATTGAAGAATAATATATATAGAAATGGAGCTAGTTAGTGAATTTATTAGAATTTAAGATAAATCGATCATTGGGTTGGTTTTTAAACTAACTATCCAAATCTCAAACACTGATTGATTGTTCAACAACTCCAACAAACATTAGGATCGATCAAGTTTGACTGATATTGGAAAGATGACATCAACTACATTGATCTATCTATCGACTTTGTGTGTGTTGAAAGTCTTCTCTACAGTAAAATTACTAGTGCTGTGAAATAAAATGTTGGACCAATTGATTAATGAAACATGTATTTAAAATAATTAATGAAAAATCTATTCAACACTCAATTGGGCATTTAAAATAATCTTGATGTAATTTTTACTGTTCAAACACTTTATTTTTCTTCTGCTTCTTGATACCTAAAACCCTAGGGAAACCAACCTTTTGTTGAGAAGTAGATTAGATCGGAAATTGATGGTCGGAGGAGAAGACCAAGGTTTGGATGTGATGATCTGAGAAGAAAGAGATGAGATAGATAGTAGAGTTGGAATTAATTGCCTTATTTTATTACAAGTGTAACTACTGTATTTATACATCCCCTTATGGGGTTATTTATGCATTTACTCTTATGGGGTGGGGTTATTTGTCTTTGTTACCTCTGTAACTTAATATTTGTATTATACCCTTATGGGGTTATTTTCATTCTTCTCCCT